AGCCGCCTGCCCCACGCCGCTGCAGCCTCTGGGCTGGCGCGCCCCCATTCCGCTCCGGATCCACCCCTCCTTGGGGGTCATTTCCATCGGGGGTTACCCAGGCCCCCCACCCCTCGTCCACCCACATCGTCTGGACCTGTGGCTGACCCCTGCGCGACCATGGTCCAACCTCAGACCTCAAAGGCTGAGGCCCCGGCGGCCAGCGCCCAGATGGAGGACGTGATGGACACGCTGACCTCCCTGCGCCTCACCAACTCAGCGCTGCGGCGCGAGGCCTCCACCCTGCGCGCTGAGAAGGCCAGCCTGACCACCATGCTGGACAGCGTCATGACCGAGCTGACCCTGCTGCGCACCCGCGCGCGCATCCCCGGCGCCCTGCAGATCACCCCGCCCATCTCTGCCATCAGCTGCAATGGCTCGCGCCCCCTGACCACGCCGCCCACCTCCCTGCCCGAGCCCTTCTCGGGAGACCCCGGCCAGCTGGCCGATTTCCTGATGCAGATGGACAGATTCATGATCTTCCAGGCGTCCCGCTTCCCCGGCGAGGCCGAGCGCGTGGCCTTCCTGGTGTCCCGCCTGACGGGGGAGGCCGAGAAGTGGGCAATCCCCCACATGCAGCCGGACAGCCCTCTGCGGGACAACTACCAGGGTTTTTTGGCGGAGCTGCGGCGGACCTACAAGTCCCCGCTCCGGCACGCGCGGCGCGCGCAAATCCGGAAGACTTCGGCCTCCAACCGGGCGGTGCGTGAGCGCCAGATGCTCTGCCGCCAGCTGGCCACCGCCGGCACTGGGCCCTGCCCGGTGCACCCCGCCAACGACGGGACTAACCCAGCACCAGCCCTGCCCACGCGAGCCCGCCACCTCTGAGCACCGGCCTTCGTCCCGGTCGCCTCTGCAGGCCCTCAGGTAGCAGGGCACTTGCATCGAAGAGGAGGAAATCCGAAGCACAAGAGCAGCGCTTTGGGGACAATGTCCCTCCAGCTTCTGCCATCCCATTCCAGAGGGAGCCCGGCCTCCCCTCCATCACGCACACCGACAACAACACCTCCACCCTTCCCGGTTGTCTGGGCTGGTTGTGTACCCCAGGATCAGCCCCTGCCCCCTTTCTGTGGCTTGCAACTGACCCCAGCTATCCTAATGACTGCCATGCGACTTCTCCCACTAGGGCACTCCCAGAACAGCACGTCACCCCTGTGCCCTGGGCTCCCTGAGGACCTGGGGCTGAGGGGAGCCAGGTTGGCCAGGCTGGAAGCCCACTGTGGCCCTGAAGACTGGGGCATGACTTCCTGCCCACAGGGGCACACTGCCTCTCGGTCACTGTACATTTCAAGGGGGCCTGCAGGCTTCAGATCTAATAGGCCAGTCCCTCTTGCCACCCAGAACCACCTTAGGGTGCAGGGAAAGGGTGAGTCTGCTGCCAGGGGCACCTCTGCCTGTGTCCTCACCCCCTCGCTGTTACAGGTGGTTCCATCTGGCAGACGCAGGGGCACCCCCACTTGAGACCCATACAGGCCCAGGGGACATGAGTGTCTCAGTCTCCCTCCCTGGGGATCCATTGGGAATGGCCACAAGCTGTCCATGTTGTGTGTGCCCCATCCCTCCTGCCTAGTTGGGACCTGTCCCTTTTGTCACCCTTACTTCTGTAGCGCCCATCCCATCTCTAGTCCAAAGCCTCTCCCAGTGTGCTCTCCCAACGCCCACTGCCTTCAGATTCCACCTTTGTACAAGAAAGGCGGTTCTTGTACATGACGCCGTTGTTCTAACATGCTGGCACCTAGTCCTAATTCTAGGGGACAGAACTCTTCCTCTTAGTGGTAGGCTGCCCTGGTCCTATTCCTGAGGGTGACCAATAAGCTGCTTCCTAAAGGAGGCATGGCCAAGACCTTGGGGTGCGGATGCCCCACTATATTTCAATGCCAAGTGAACACCATTCACATGTCTTCCTGGGCCCAGGCTTCATCTGAACCGGCCCCAATGGTCCTGGCTGGCTGTCCTAGCCCAAAGACGTGTCTGGGGCTCTCCCTGGCTGGGACCAAGACCCATCCCTCATCCTAAGAGTCTGGCTGATTCTGGGCAGGGTGGCTGCATCTCCAAAGCAACCATGGCCCCTCGAGGCCTGGGAGGTGCTTGCTGGGGTGCATGGACCACCTGTGCATCGTCTACTCCATTAGCCCTACTGCCCTGCAGAACAAGTGCCTGAACACAGCCTCAGGCTGCCCTGAGCCTGCCAGCCGAGGCTGCTTGGTGCAACACGGTGCTCACCAGGCTGCGATGCTGGGAGGACGGCTGGAGGGGAGGTGGGGACCTCTGATGGGCGGGGCACAGCTCGTTCATTCCCACTCACCTGTGCTGGTAGGACTGAGCCTGCTCTGTGGGGGCCTCGGGAATGGAGGTCGGGTGCGGCTGGCCTGCAGGGGTCCCACCCAGTGGGGTAGGAGCTCTGCTCTGGTGCATACTCTGGGGTGCCTACATGGGTTTCAGGAGGTGGGAGCATGTTGGTGCGTGGTGCAGTGTGTCAGGGTCGCACTGCTGTGCCCACAATAGTGAGGGTCACCCCACCAAGGCTGGCCACCCTCCTCGCCCTCCTGCACTGACTGCAGTGAGGGGCCCAGGTCCACCTCACTGGG